GCTCTCAGGCTGCATCAGTTCCAGCAGTTAGCTCTGGGAGAATTTTAAATTTCTTTTAAATTTAAGCAGTAGCCTTTGAAAAAATTCCTTAAAGAGCACTGCAAAAATGTCAGCACAGGGTCCAATAGTATAGTTTATAAGTGATTCTGGGGAAAAGATGAAAAAAAAGGCTATAAAAGGCATCTGGTTTATTTGTGACCGGATTAAACAGATATTTCTGATGTCCAGTTTCCCTTACTAAGTCTGGGACCTTGGAGTCAAGCTGTTTCTTGTTGAGCTGCTGTCTCCTGGAATAACCCCTGTTACCAGCAATAGCCCACCAGTCAAACTCTGCCCGTGACACCTTTTACACTTTGTGTTTTGCCTTGTGCTATAGTTTACCCTAATGTTTTTACCTGCCATACCTCTCAGGTCCCAGCCATACCTGCAGGGGGTCAGCATGAGTTCATATGCACTGCTGACATCTCTTCCCACTGAGCATTAGTGTAACGCAAGCCCGTGAGGCAAAGAGCTTCATCCCGACTGCCTTTGGGAACTCGGTGGCAGGAACTGCAATGCTATTGCTGCATGGCAGTGCAGCTCGTTCCTAAAGGGCCTGAAGAAACGCAGCAGGGGCTGAAAGTCATAAACTGTGATTTTCAGTTGGTTCTGCCTCAGTGAAACACATGCTGCTGGAAACTATCATTTTATCTTCAATGGTTGACATAAGTCACAATTAGGCCAAAAACAGTGTGAGATGGTTCGAGAAGGAAAACTGATCTTGCTGAAGGAGGAGGGAGCCAGACTCTTTTCAGTGGTTCCCACCGAGAGGACGAGGGGCAACGGGCACAAGTTGGAACAGAAGAGGTTCCACTCAAATATGAGGAGAAACTTCTTCACGGTGAGGGTGACGGAACCCTGGAACAGGCTGCCCAGGGAGGTTGTGGAGTCCCCTTCTTTGGAGATTTTCAAAACCCGCCTGGATGCAGTCCTGAGTAACATGCTCTAGCTCTAGGCAATCCTGCTTCAGCAGGGGAGTTGGACTAGATGATCTCTATGGTCCCTTCCAACTCTAGAAATTCAGTGAAATTCAGTGAAATTCTCTGAGACAACTTAGAGGTTTCGTTTTTGAAATTGTGTTTTCAAAAAGTGCTAATGAGGAAACAAGATTTGCATGGGCAGCCTATAAATAATATTATTTTTTGTTGTTTTGGTCCCATTTTGCTGGGACTTGAAAGAATGAAAATATAAATAATATTAAAATGCTTCACAGAAAGGAATGAAATCATTATTTTTTTAAAATTTAAAAATAACGCTTGGAAATTGTTGACGGGATCTTCTCCTAACTGATGAATAAGTCCACTTTATTAAAAAAGTACAATTACTGCAAATGTTGTTTAATGTTTAATGTTTAAAATGTACACATTTCTCAACAGTTCCATAATTTCACTTGGTGCTTGCTTTTTGAAAGTGAGGCCCTATTACATGCATAAATGGTTGGTGACTCTTTAGTGACAACTACAATAATGGTTTCCTACTGTTCCCAAAAGGACCACATTTCCATCTACATCAGAGAAGTCTGGCACAAAACGGAACATAAATCTGAAGGCAGTTTTCAAAGTTAAGGCTCTGGGGTCTTAACAGTCACAGCTGACTGTTCGTCTGGTTTTTACTATTGTATAGTATTTCTGATTGCATAAAGAGAAGAATGACTGCAAAGAGATCTTGTCTTTCATTGAACCATAAAGACAGCTTCAAGTTGTTGTCACTGGAGTAATAGGGCCTTTTTCAACAAATGGAATTGCATAACTTTATTCTGAAACAAGCCATCAGCTCAGCCTGCAAAGATGTTGAGCAGAGCTTGGAATGGATGATGCACTTGAAATGTCTGTGGGGGCATCTATCTGCCACTGACTGGAAAACAAATATCATTTTCTCCTTGATGCATTATACAGCATAAAATAGCAAAAAAAGAGAACTAAAAGCAATGGCCCATCCAGTCTAGTAGTATGCAGTACCATATGCTTAAAATACAGGCATGTGAAACTTTCAGCATGCAGTTACAAAATAAACTGTCCACAAAACTAGTTTTTCTCTAAGTCATGATAGTTAGAATGTGTTTTATGTGCTAGAGCTTGAAGTTTATAGCCTTTTCCCACTTCTGCTACTCCCTAGTATTTACTGCTGGAATTCTCATATAAGTAAAAGGAAAACATAGCAGGATGAATTTTCTTCTGGCAGACATAACTGTAGTTTCACTGAAGCTTGTGCATCCTTTCAGATTTATACCAGCTGAGTAACCCTAGCCTGATTTCTAGTTCTATACAGACTTTTTTTTCCAAAGTTGCAGTGACAAAGGAACCATCTAAAGGTGAGTAGATCATCTCTGTTTGCATCTACCCACATTTTTAACAGCTGAATTTTCATATCTTTCCTTATTAACTTGAAAAAAGTATATCTGGGCTCCAGCCAAACTGACTGTCAAGAAGAAGCAAAATACTCAATAAGAAAAAAGTTTGTGATGAAGAATGAGTTTCTAGCTGTGCCAGTTCATTGACAACATATTAGTTTTATGTCTCTGCTTCTTGCACCATCCTTTGTTGTCAAAAATACTCAGCAAACAATTCAGGGGAAGCAATTGGCATATTCCCTAATGAGATAAGATAAAGTGTCCTGTAATGATGATGACAGCAAATTCACTAAGTGAACTGCAGTTTGAGAACTTTGCAAATTGATCAAAGCATGATTCCTTGATTGCTTACTTAATCGCCTGTTACAGTCTCTTTCCTGACCCTTCATATACCACTTGCTTTTGTCAGCACTTCAGTGACTGAGGGACTCTCTGTTAGCCCCTCAGGTTGTGAATAGTGGAAGAATAGGTTCTGGTTTGGGGATTTTATTTTATTTGCATATAATGCGTACTGTTGGCCAGCTATCAGAGGGGGAATTTAGAGACCTGGACTCCTACAGTGCTTTCTACATCAGGCTAATGACTGTCAGGAAGATGTTTTCTTAATTCAGTTTATTATAGGATGGATACTAATTAAAGCACTGTCTCATCGGGTGCTGAATACCTTAAACAGCTTCTTAACTCCAGGGAGGGTAATGCTGTGCATATTTAGCACTTAGTGATGTTCTGCCTGCTAAAGATGTGTGGTCAGGAGAGAAACGTACAAGGGTAAAGCATATTTTGGTGAGTGGTACAAGTGATTGACTGGTGAGAATCTTACTTCATAGTCAGTTTGGGATCAGAGACCCTAGAACTGTGATTATATTTTGTTAGCAGAGTGAAGAAATATCCAAATTTCAGTAAAATTTGAGTGATGGACTGTCTTGTGCCAGTCTTCAGAATAATAGTAAGACAAGGCTACTTCAGGCTGACCATTTAAGCCTTTCTGGAATTTGTTTCATTAGAGAAACTACTTTTAGGGAATGAGGGGAAAGGAGGGGTGTGAGTTCATGCATACAGAAGTGGGAATGAGGAACTACTCCTCCTCCTGGTGCAGGGCAATTGCTGCTTTCTGAAGGAGAGGCTGGGACTGGGCTTCAGAAGTGGCAAGGAAGTGCTCTCCCTGCACTCAGCCTGCAAACCTCTGAGTTCTTTCAAGATAAAAGGCACTGGGGACTTTGCAGTAGTATTTACAACCTTGACACAGCAGATGTTGTGCCATATCAAGTTTAACTGTACTGGTCTGCTGCCTGAAGAGTGAGGGGCTTGGAAAAAAGACTTGCAGTGGATAGCAAACGTGTTATGCACAAATTCCCCCGAGTATCCCCCTATCTGTGTAAATCCAGTGTTTGCTATATAATGATGTACAAATAGTAGATAAAAGTGCTCTTAAAAGTAAAGGGTAAGAAAAAGATAGACTTGACCTTGCAGGAGCCAAAGATGATGTTCAAATATATTTCTGTTTGTTCTGCTACTGGTAACACTCAAAAACTTACTTCAAGATTGGAGGCAATTCTGTTTGCTTGCATTTCTGCTACTGTGTCTTCCACATAGCTTTCTCGGAGGAAGCAAAAAAGGGAGTCTTGATCTATCTGCCAAGTAAATCTGGGGGTTTTATTGTACATGTTAACATTTAGTTGAAAAACAATATGCTGTTATGGAGCATATCCTTGTTGGTATATTCAGGTAAGTGTTTAAACGGGTAGAAAAAAAAAGTCAATCCTCCTGCAATGCCACTTAAGGTTACTGTTGTTCAAGATCCAGGATCTTGAACATGTGACTTTCTGATACCTCATGTGAAGTGACAGTTAGAATATCTTGCCTGAAAACATGCCTCAAATACAAGTAATTGCACTGACCTGTGGGAGTTTTTTATGTCCTGTTATTTCTCTTGGAGAACTGTTGTGCTTGTTTTATTGACCACTTGGATTTTCATGGCCACTAATCCTCCCAAAGAAGAGTATTGATAAGCAGAAAGGAAGAGTTGGTTGTATAAAAATAAGTCTAAAACAAAAAGATATCACGCGTGATGGGGACCATATGTGAGCTTGAGCTTTTCTGCTAGAGGACAATGGCTTGTTTTCATTTGGGTTGTAGATGGTGGTAGGGGTTTATATATGCCTGTTAACAGTATCCTGCAGGGAAGCTGAAGACTGGCAAAAATACCTTTCTTCTCTATTGAGAAGGATTGACCACATGCCTAGGTAGTAAATCATGTGTATGTTTGTATGTACGTATGTGGATGCATGTTCGTGTCATTCCATAACTAGATGGTGGCATGTTTGAAATTTCATATTAATTTACTTAAGTATTTACGTACTTTAATCCAAAATAAGGCAAATAGCCATATCTTTAAAGCCAGAATATATTAAGTTTAAGGAAGTATGTTAAATACACGGCTAACTTTGAGCATAGAGTCAGGTCCAAATGCAGTAAACTCTTTCACATGCTAATCAGCAGTGAACCAACAGTTTATGTTATGACAATAATTAAAGCAGTGCTCATGTTTGAAATGTGTCTGTCTGTTTTCTCCTTGCTTATGTGATATAATCTCTCTCTCTCTCTTTTTAAGCTATCTATGAACAATCTTGTGAGGCTTACCGACACCAAGGGAAGACATCAGGTTTCTTCTACATTGATTCTGATGGAAGTGGACCACTTGGACCACTCCGTGTTTTTTGCAATATAACAGGTAACGACCTAACACTGTCTTTGGTGTTTTATGTTACCTCTACTGTCATTGGCATGTCTATCATTGTAATACTAAGAAGACCCCACAACCACGGGTGTTTCAGTAATGGGAAAAAGGAGAGAACTGCTAGTAACTGAGGTTCCGCTCTGAGGTGTTTCCTTAAATGTGATCCCTGTAAAAGTGATTTTTAAATTTCAAGTTTGAAGGACTCACCTTGTACTGTTGCTAAGTGGTATTTACAATGGTATTTGCACCTTTTAAAGGGCACTGCTGACGTATTTTTCATAATATCATAACTTTTAATGAGATGTTTGTATTTTTTGCTAAAGGTGTAGAAACCTAGAATTCAAACTTTCTTTTGTAACTGGGAATGGTTTCTCTGCTTTACTAGACATTAGATCTGGGAATGATTATTAAACTACTTGCACTGAGCTAGCTGTAATCCCTTCCAGTTTGACTTGAGCAGGAATACCCCCCTTATATGAGTGTCCCAGAGAATAGGAACCCTGATTGTCCTGGGTATCTGTATGAAGGAGAAAGCTTTAAGGAGGAGGAACAGCAAAGAGACAGGTAGCGGAGCAAGAGCCTGACAAGGTGACCTGTTGGTTAAGACTTCTCAACCATAGAGTTCTGTAGTTCTAAAATAAGAAGTGTTTCAAATGAATATACCTGTCTGGCAAATTCTCCCCTTAAGTGGGCCCTATTTGGTATATAGGACTGTCATGCAAGATTATGAAAAAATATTGCATAGCCCATATTGTGGATTGAGGTATATGGTAGAGCATCCTTTCTGCTTTTTGTTTTTGAAATGGAGAGAAAATTTCCTAGACTGTGTCCTGCTTGGCATTTCTTTGCTTCCTGTGGCCAGGTGCAGCGGAAAGAATATTTTATTACTCCTTCTAAATTGCTAATTCTGGTTGAACTCCTTTACCACATATCACCTCCACGCTGTGGAGGTGAAAACTGAAAACTAAGGACTCGGGATATCCATGTTTTATCCTTAATCTTCTTCTACTTAAAGTGGCTCAAATTAAATTTTCATTTTGATTTAATTGGGCAATCATTATGTTAATTAAATGCACACCAGTTAATTATTAAGTATGTTTTTTATTCAAGTGTAACAAATATTTAATAAGATGTGTCTTCTTCCCTGTTGTTGAATCTCGTAAGAATTGAAAGAGAGTTTCACCTTTCTGTCTGAATATCCTTCCTTGATCTCCAGTATGGGAAATGTGCTCATTTTTATTATTTATCATATAAATATGTGTGATCAAAACATTGTCAGTGCTTTTTATCTCTGCTGAAGAAGTAGGATTTTTGACAAACTCCTTGCAGAAAGCATTTGCTTTCCTCAAATAAATTTTATCTGGCAGAAATCCAGAAGGCATATACCTGATTTTCTCTCTATCTGTAATGAACTTGCTGACATTCTTATTTTATTTTGGTTACAAGAAAAGTGGAGGTGGGGAAAACTGAAAGACCTCCTAGCCTGGAAAACTTTTTCTTTTCTATATTTCTTCTTTCCTCCTAGATGTCTTATTTGAGGCAGGGGAAGGTCATTTGTCACAGGCATCTCTGTTATTCCTATTGCATAAAAGAGTACTGAGGGAAAGAAAGAAATTACTATTTTACAGTTGTGCAGAGAGTTTGAGTTTTGGGTTATGTTGCTGTATCATCTATATGTGATTGGAGTGCCTTAATCAGAACAGCTTCTTTTCTCTCTGGGAATATACCTTATTGTTATGCTGATAATAATTGTTTACAGTAATAGATTAAGTGCAAAGTATAGAAAAAATAACTCTACTGCATTTATTACTCTTTTCAGGCAATGTTTCTGTATATTTTTCTGAAAGTATCAATATTCAATATTTGTTTTTCCTGATGCAATGAATAATTCAACTTGAAACGTATACCACACAACAGCAGGGAGGCTAATGTATCAACAGAGGGGGAAATACCAGGCTGGGACAGCCTGAGTCTTGTCTGATAGATTCAGAAGGTGCAGTTAAACGTGGAAGTTTAGTTGCAGCTCCCAGCTCAGGTATCTGTGAAGCAAAGATCACCGGGAAGCAAGAGTGAGTTTCAGGGAAACCTTTTGCCTTCCCTCACTTTCCTGGGTATCTGTTCACCCTCAAAGGCAGAGGTGGATTCCTGGGCTAAATGAAGCTTTGCTTTTACTCAGACTGGCAGTTCTTCTTTTTGTATACAGTTCAAGAAGAAGTAACCTCTTTATGCCCAAACCATGTTCGGGCTGAAAAATCTGGGGGGGAAATGACTCCTTTAGTGCTTTTAAAAATAAAGATGCAATGAGCTAATGACTTCTGGGAATTGCAGTGCGTTGAATCTGTGAAGGATGAATTCAAAGATGGAATCAGTTCATCAGAAATGAGCAGCATCATTGCATTTAGAAAACCGTGGTGTTCCTTAATGTTCACTTCCATTTGTTTAAAATTCTTTCTAATTTTTACCTGTTTAATTGAACAGAGAGGGGTCTTGTTTGTAGCCAATTATTAACCACGGCAAATTAACACCAGCTTTGTCGCATGTTGGTGTCACATCCAATATGTGATGTGGATATGGGAAGTATCAACATTACAAGTCAATTTATTATGTCTATAGTCCCAATGATTTCCCTGCAGCCTGTCAACTTTAACAGCCCACTGCTGAATAAAAACCCTGAAGAAAGCAGAAAACTGTCATTGCGTGTGTTGAGAGGGAATTGGACAATCATACAAAGACAAAGAGGGAGAGAAAAATAAGGGAAGGGAAATTTTGCAGGGAAAATGTGAAGGAAAAAAATATAAAACCAATTTTCAGCATGGCAAGAAATTTAAAAGTAGACTGTCACAGGATATGTGCTGATACCAGAGTCGATAAATGTATTTATTCATTGTCTGGAGAAGTGGCTGAAAAAGCAAGGTGACAAAAATTGTAGATGACATACTATTATTTAAGTTGGTCAAGAAGAGGGAAGAGTATGTGAATTACCTTAAAAGGATCTTATCTTGAAGACTGTTTATCTCTAGAAGAAGCAAAATATTTCATTGGAGGTTGTCGGGAACAGTAATTTACCTAATTAAAGGCATAGAAAGATAACTGTACAAAGAGAGGTTAAAAGTAAATAATCCAGGGCTGTTTAGATTGGGAAGACCCAAAGTGAATGGACCTCACTGACAGAGAGATTTTCATTTGCATTTTCTTGCAATAGGAATAAAGAGACAGTTCAATGTCACCGAAAGACAGCAAACTCAAAATTAGATTAAAAAAAAAAAAGACAGTGCCTTATTAACATAATGTTTTTTTCACCTTATATACCCATTACATACCCAAAGCAAAGTCACTTTCACAGGGAAATTCATCAACTGTTAGAAATAATGAGAAGTCCACGCCAAATATGTATGAGAAGTGAATTTGGGCACGTGTGCCCAAACCATCATCATGTATAGGTGGATGCTATGTGAGACACCATGAGGATTTGTGTGGGTCCATGCAGGGATTATTAATTTGGGATCATAGAATTATCTAGGTTGGAAGGGACCTTTAGGATCGTTGAGGAACCTAATACTGCCAAAACCACTACTAAACCATGTCCCTAAGCACAACGTCTACCCGTCTTATGACTACGCAGCATCACGAAAACACAGCTAGCCTGTTCCAGGCCACCTGATGGGAATCTGAACTAGCTCTTCTTGCTTTTTATGGGTTCTCCCATCACCCATGATGGTCTACACCCACGCTTTTTTGCATAAAGTACAGAGAGAATGTATCTTGTCATGCTTTGGAGTAATGAACAGCCACCAGCACTGGGAAAGAAATTTTCCCTGTGTGTGGATAGTTTGATAATTAGTCCAGTTGAATTAATCTTCACTTCCCATTGCAGTGACTGACAACAAGCAATACAGAACATGGCTAATGGGTCCCTGAACCTCTGGTCTGGCAGTCTTTATGTCACTGTGAGGCTTATTCTTTTTCTCTTGTTGCTTAGAAATCTATTGATTGTCTTGAGCATGACTTAAATGCTAATAATCATATTGTCCAGTGTAAATTCTATAGACATGTAATCTACATCCATGTACTTGTTTTGCAGCCCTGTATTGAAAGAGTTTGTAATGACCTTTCCTCCTCTCCTCTGGAGTAAATTTTACCCTTGATATCTGAAAGATTTGCTTACAATACACTTGAGTCATTCTGTCACCATACTTCTTTACTGATGCTGTTTTACTGTATGCCAACCCTGGGCTATAAAATCAATAATGCTTAGAAATTCCCATGATGAAATCAATGGTTAATTTTATCTTGGCCAGGTAACTGTCCAGTCTTCAAATATCTTGCTGCTTTTTTTTTTATTTCACTTTTTTTTTCTGTAAGGGTGTGGATTGGGGAAAGATGAATCCTTATTCCAGCTCTTGTTGCTGGTCCATGATCTGTTTTTGAAACTACCATAATGAAAAAATCATTAATGAACAAAAATATATTTCTCCTTGTTGCAGATCATCTCTCATTTGCAGTCTCATCTCAAAATGCAAATATTGCCTATTTTTCTGATGCAAGAAAAGCAAAACTTTATCTTCTCTGTCTCAGAAAACTGTATAGAAACTGTTTACATCTCAGACAAAATAAGAGACTCTATAAAGATACAAAGGAGATTGCTGAAGTTATGATTGCAATTTTTATAAATTGCCTCCAGCCTTTTTTTTTCATTCAGCTAACGATGATACAGATTTTATTCTTCCATATAGTACATATTCTATAGCATGTAAAGAGGGTTGAATTCAGGAGGATACAAAGTGTGTTGGTACCTGAAGTCTAAATACTTTAAGTATCTGAATAGTCCCACTTACAGTCCCACAGTATGATATTTGGACGGCTTTTTGAGGAAAATACTGTAGCAGTTCAACTTTACTCACTTAGCTGTGAACAAGGAACAGGTTGGAATAACAAAGAGATGGACTACTACAAAGCAGAGATATCTAGACCTCAGTCTTTGCAGTAGGAATCAC